AACGTACTGGACTGAGAATCTGATGGTCCATGTGTTCGTATCCTGTTGCTGCAAAACCACGCACCACGGTTTTTAGGCCGTTGGTGTGTTATAAGAATGACAGTTAAATTCCTCCATCCAATTAGAGTATCCCAAGAGTTGGAGATGAATTCTGTTTACTAACTGCTATTCCTTTAGTCTGATAGTTGAAAATTAGGGACAAGTAGCGTACGTAGCCCTCGCATAAAACTTCTAAAGCAAACAAAACCTTCAGATTCACAGTCTGGACACACTTACCCCTAGGCCACGCCAGGACCTAGTGTATAAATACTAAAGCTTTAACGCTATATTTAACAAAATAATTTTATGGTGCAGGAATATGTATTTTTCTAGTCATTAAATTACGATTTAGGTAATATTATGTGGTAGAGGAAGAAAGATGAAAGCTAAATTATATGGTTTAAAGTTTATGTTGTTGTCTGTGTAGATAATGAACATTAAATTTTATGTTCATACATGATTTTATGGTAAAATAACTTTTACAGAACAATGAATTTTATGCCTCATCCTATGGAATAAAGGCGAGTTTAAGGTATATGAACGTGCTGATATCAAAGACTAAGTTTCGTGGTTTAGATGAATTTATGGTGAAGTAAGCTGATTTTCGTTTCATACATGAAACAGCTCTCAGTTATGTGTACAAGGACAATGAAATTCTACAAGTCTTTTTTTTTCTACGTCCTGGAGAGCATATAGATGCTCTTTATCGCAGATCTGTTAGTTTGTAATTTAATAACAAGTGTACTATGGGTCAGTGTTTCACATTTTGAGCTTACACTCACAATCTGCCAAACCCAATTATCATTGAAATGTGTTGCACATCTACGATCCTTGATTTGACGTCCGATTTGGCATTACTTTTTATGCCTCAATGAGCTATGTTTTTTACAAATAGATTTTCCAATATTTCTTCTATTAATTTGCTGTGTTGAGTTATATTTGGTCTGCCATTGGATACAGTTGCCGTGGCTGATAACTCGCCTCCTCAACCATGGATTTTTAATATTCTTATCTGTGATTTTTTATTGGATCCTCCTATTAGAAATATTGACTTATTTTTTTAATGTACACCATCTGGGAAATTCCTCCTTTGAACCTATTTTTATGTGTGTCTTCAAATCATGAGACTCGCTTGCCTTAGTTGAGCTATAGTTTATTCTAATTCTGTAGTTTTTCCAGGATTTCTACTAAAGAATCTGTTTCCACTGCAATAAATATATAAAACTTCTTTAAGCGTGTTGTTGGCCCTGAAATGATAGCCCACATCCTATTACTTGTTTGTGTATGAAATTTGTTTAACTATCTTTGTTATAATTGCATAAGATTTTGTTGTATATCTGACAAAGCTGGGACCACAGGGAATGATTTGGTTGAGACTGCAATCACATCAACCTCTTCACTGCAGTCAATCCTTTGATCATTCCAAACACGGATTTTAAAACAAACTATCATGGAGGGTCTCCGTGCCAGGTTTCTGAAGCTCTGAAATGAGTAGCAGAGTAATAGTGTTTTAGAACAGTGACCATCTAGTCTGTGGAGGTTTCGAAGATAGAAAGATGTTTTGGTGATGTATTGGTTCAACTTTTTGTAGTACACCGTTATATTTTGAGACAGAATCTTCAGTTACTATGGGAATGTTATAAATCCTTTTCAACCATCAGCCACTTTTACTTTTACTGAGTCACACAATTGCTAACAGTTAATGTAGCTGAATTGCAGCGCCTTCTAATAACAAATTGGGATAAAATCAAGATGGATTACATCAGTAACCACATTGTCAGCATGCCACGTCACCTTGCGAAGGTTATTAGAGCACGAGAAGGACAAGCCAAGTTACTGAATGTTTAATATGAACTGATATAAGGTTACAAACGCTATTTATAATAATTTGATGTTATATTTTGTTATTATACACATCTTGGTAAGATTTTGTTGTGTTAGGTAAAAAGCTGAATTACACATCTATCTTCGGGTATCTGATAATATTGTTTGCTGTCCTAATAAATCGTTCATGATGTTCATGGAACTTGTTTGATTATACAAGTTACACATGTAGATGTTTAATATAACATGCGTTTCTCAATTTCACAATGCTAAGTGTATTTGTATTCCAGCTTAATAATTATTATCTTATTTGTTACACAATATGCAAACATTTTGGCCAAGACTGTATTTGATACTGTGAGAATCCACACTGACGTGAGTGAGCGATAAGTTAGCAGACTTACAACGCTAAAATCCGGGATTCGATTCCCCACGGTGAACATAACGCAAATAGTCTAACGTGATCATTGTGCTAAAACAAACAAACAAACGCGTGTTTTCATAGGGACCTAGTGTTTGAAGTATCACTCTCGAAATTATTCCCCATACGCATGATCGTGTTAATAAAAGGGGAAGAAATTTATTTTCATTTCATCCACGAGAACGGCATTTCTCCTCAGTTCAAATACTTCTGAAACAGAAACACTTTAGGTTTTTTTTCAAAGATTGTATTTTACATTTCAGAGAAGTAGGCTTAGACTAGTATTATGTTTACTAAAAAACATTCTTCAGTATCACACGCTATGTTTTATACTTCTATGCGAATAACTTTGAAGAATCAAAGCTGGTAAGATTGAACGAATGTATTTAATTTGTTATCGTGCTATAATAAAAACGTAAGAATGATATTAAGTTTAAAGTCTTATCAAAACAGAAAATGTGTCTATCAAGCTCCGAACAAAACACGCGACTTGAATAATATATATATATATTATTTTTTTAAGAAGAAACTAACAGGTATAGATATATTAAAGTCACGTGGCAACGCGTATCTGTGCTGTTTATGATGGTCGACGCAACGTTTTTAGTTATCGTTAATGCTATTGCTTGTTCTGATAATCAGACTTTTCTAACTGGCCTTACATCGATAGAGGGACTTGTAAACAAGCTACAGTTGTATGATTCTTCCAAATCCAATATTCTCTCCAGTAACTGATGGGAAAATCGGCCTTATGCACTATTCGAAAGTCTCTAAGTCAAATGCCAATCACTTCTTATTAGTAGTGGCAATACCACGCATAATTACAAAGACAGATGAAAAATGGAAGTACGAAGCTGATGCCAAATTATGTTATTAAAAATCAAAGAAAAAATCTACTTGTATATTGTTTTTGTTTTGAGTATATTTCTATGATCAATTACATAACAAAAAATAATATTCGCTAAGATATTAATGACGCTGTAATTCAATCATAATGAAATTCGCATGATATATGTAACATGTATATAACAAGTGCAAGTTTCTTCTTACCGCCCCC